CTTCGACTTGCCTTTCCCTTCTCGGTCCCCACCAAGAAATGGGGAGGCAGCCAGGCAGCCGCGCGTGTCTGCCCCTCTATTATGACAAAGCCCGCCTAGGCCAGGGACGGTCGCTACGACACCAGCACCCGCCGCTGCTCGGCGCCCGCGCGGCAACGCGCACCCTGAGGCCGTGTCACAAGCGGCAGCCGAAATTCAGACGGTCCCCAAATCCGAGCTCAGGCCGCTAGCAAACTCCATACCCCAAAGAGCTCCTACCACAAAGTCAGTCCCAAAATACTCTGTGGGCTTCTTGCCCAGGGGCTTTAGAACGACATCCATTTTGGTGTGAAATGTCCACTGAGGGTACGGCTTTTCATTTATGGGCATGCTGAAAAAGTAATTAGTGTTTTGGGGAAGATTAAGGCTTTAAAGTTACTCTTTCATACCCGTGGGGATATTTTTGGTGGTAGGACTCTTTCTCACAGTCAGGAATGAAGTTTTTCAGCATGGTTCAAAAAAGGCAGTAGATCCAACTCTTTTATGCGTGCAAATCCTGCCCTCACAAGGCAGTATATAGAGTCTGTCTCCTTGTTTTGTAGGAGAGAATAGGAAAGATGCTGTACGGCTTCCTGTGGAAGCTGCTGTAGCAGCTGTGGAAAGATGCTGAAGCTTCCTGTGCTCCTAAAGACGTGTCCCCAAGAAGATGCTTGCTTTTGCCTGAGACAGTGCCCAGCTGCTTGGTTATAAAGAGACAGAAAGTTGCTTCAAGGCATTTTTGGTTTAAAAAAAAAAAAAAAAGACGTTAACCGTGATAACATCCAAGCCAAATATCAGTTCTAGCAATTGTTCTGTGCCTGCTTAGGTTCCTAATGTAATTTTAAATGGGCACACCTTTTTTAGCTTCCTATCCAGAACGTGTAGTTTTGTTGGAGTATTCGCGTCCCAGGTGTAGTCATTATTTCTCAACGGATAAAGCTTATTTACATATCTATATTTACACCTGCATATATATTGTCAGTGCACGTTTCTTAAACCTGTAGGGCCTTTTCTAATATCGGAGCGAAAGGCGCTACACATTGCAGGGCACTGGTATTATAAATGCAATCTATTTATTTTCTTCTGAGCATCTTTTCAGCGTGTCTTGCTTTCCCTGCAAGAACGAGCACCGTGTTCTGCTCTTTCTTTAAGCTGGCGTTTTGTGCCGCTGCAGCGGGGCGCGGAGGTTGCTACGCCCGCGCGCAGGACTACGCCGGGAGCGGCTGAGCTGGGCGGCAGCGCCTCGCTGCTCCCAGCGCCGTTTCCGCAGTGTAGTGGTTCTTCAGTTG